AATCGCCGTACACATCACAACCTGTGAGAGCACCAGCCACCTACCGCACCGATAAGAGGAACCCCGCGGATTTCGCAGCGAAAGTTTCCTTATGGTTCATGGGGTACATATAGCAATATCAAATATCTCTGCGGGATTATTTAGTCCTGTTTGGATATCACCCCCACATGGTTCTCCTGAGTAAAGGCCCAAAAGGTTAGCCATCTAATCTCTATAGCTTTACGCTTGATCCAGTCTTGTAGAGGTGAGATAGATATCCCGAAATATACTCAGCAATCGGAACACTGCGAAGGAGGCAACTGCACCCAGGGCATTCTATTTTCTTTGGTGATGCTTTGTATGAGAGCTTTCTCAAACATAGGTGCATCTTTATTCACTTTCCTTCAATGGAAGAGATACAGGTTGGTCTGGATATAACACCAAATTATCTTGCACCATCGGTTTGAAAGTCATATGGGCTTCTGCTTGCTTTCGCCGTAATAACTGCGCAATGGCATTGAATCGTCAGTTTGCTCAGCACAAATATCCAAAGTTAGATCCGAATTGAGATCTTTAGTCTGGAGTCCCCACTTTAGCAGAATGTAATAAACTTTATCAGTTTTGCTGATCCATAGCACGTCTCGTAGCAGTATCTACGGTTGCTGCGTGTAGGGGTTCAAAGGAAAATTCAGAATAAATTTCTGCATGTCGAGCTTCAGTGCTTATTCAAACATTTTGAGCTGTAAAAGTGGTTGATTCTTCTTCATTCTAAAATAGTTCGTTTGAACCCATTCCTACATTTGTAAACCACCAAAAAACTTTGGACACACCTGATTGGATTAGGGACATGAGTGCCTTTTTTTCACTTAGTGTTCAGATAACACAAGACCGGTTTGAATGATGCATGCAAGGGTTTTGCCGTATCTTACAGACAAATGTTTTAATACACTGTATGTATAAAATAGCATCCTATTTTTCCGAAAGATCTTCCATGAATTAACATAGTGTTGAAAATTATAAGCTCTGTAAAACAAGTCGAGGAAATACTGAATGTTGAGGATCTTTGGTTTCAGGTGGACTGAAATGAAATCATTCCAACTTGTTGAGTGTGAAATCTCGAGTAATCGGTCGTAGAAAGGAAGGAGGGAATTCACCCAATTCCAGTATGTCTGTATACGTCCAAAATAACTAGTTACCCTTGACCTTATCAAATTTATTTCGGGATCGCGTATGATAAGAACAAAACAAACAGTGCAGCATTGAACACCAAACATTTTTGCCGACATCAGCAGGTTCAACCCTGGCAGACGAACTACACAGGGACAAGTTGCTAGACTATCAGTTTGATCACCAAATAATGCACACCGTGCAACGCACGTTCAATTGCAGCAAAACGGGAAAAGTTTACTCTTGAGTGGCTACCAAGAGATTGACGGGACTTTATAATTTCAGCGACGGTAAGTGAATCAGCGTGAACTTTCAGTAACACAATGTTATTAAAAACTTTCTTTGCTGCTACACAACAGTAGCTATGAAACAAACCGATCCAGAAGAACTCGGCTGGAGTAAACTCCTGTGCAAATTATGTCCCTGCCAAGGAGCAGGAAATCCTGCCTAACTAAAATATAATAAAACTTGAGTACAGTAGTCTAAAAGAGTGCTAGACATGGCGCCTGCGGACAGATGATGTGAGGCGTCTTCAGGTTTTCGACCACCGATGCCTCAGAAGCGTGGCTGGTTTTGGATGGCCTCAGCGTGTCAGTAACGAGGCGATTAGAAAACGGGTAGTTGGTTGTGCTGCATGCACCTCAATCCGGGAAAGCATCCAGCATCATCGACTGTGATGACTCGGTCATGTGCTACGCATACCAAAACACCGTCCACCGAGACGAGTGTTATACTCCATGTCTTCTTCAGGATGGCGCAAACCGCGAGGTAGACAGCACATGACTTGGCAAAACGGCGTGAAAGAGATCACAAAGAGTTTGGGTGTTGTTGGTGTTGTGCGACTTCCAGGATGGGGTCCCCGTGACCCCGTCTGTGCTTGGCTGGAGATGTTGAAAGAAATGGCGGCTAATCGATGTCAGTGGC